ATACGGTGCAAGATGGAGAGCAGAGAGTAGGATTCTATTCCTTGGAGATGGCTGAAGATCTTGAACTTGAGCCAAAGCCATGCCATGTTATTGCTTTTGAGGATGCTGGTGATTGCAAAAACTTTTGCTATATCATTCAATCTCATCTGGAAATGTTGGGGACTGGCCATGCGTTTCTTGTCGCACGTCCACCTAAGGTATGGAATAACTTGTTTTCGAGCTTCAAGCTTTCTAATACATTTGACAAACTCGAAAGTGGCTAATGACATTTTGCATTGTCTGTACTTATTTCCCCTTAATCATCTGATGGATTATCTGAATGATCTAGCAAACGTTTGTTCTTACCGAACCAATATCCGTTTGTGGAACTTCCAAACCTTGGGATTTCTCCAATCATTGTGAATTTATATAATTTGCAGGTTGTTGTGGTAATTAAATCATTACTTTGAAGTTACTGTGTGTGCATAGACAATCTTCCTGTTTGATTAATCTCTTTTTGTGATCGTCAACTATTGAGACAACCCGTCGTATTTTGTATGTATTTTTCTTTCTTTTCGTTTTGTTGTTATCCGGATATCTTATCGATTTTACTTGCATAACCGTGTTTCTCTCTTGTTAAAAAATTTGCAAGGATGCCTTTCGGGAAGCCAAAGCCATTGGTTTCGGTGTCACAGTCATTAGAAAAGGTGAGCTTAAGCTCAATGTGGATCAAACGCTGGAGGAAGTGGAGGAACAAATCACTGAAATCGGTAGCAAAATGTACCATGATATGATCATGAAGGAGCGTTCTGTAGATATTAGTTCTTTAATGAATGGTGTACTTGGTTTGAGCAACACACCAACAAGGAGGTACCTTTTGATCCTTGATATATATATATATATATGATACTTTAATGGTTTGTTTGACTTGGCTTTCACTTTGTGAAGTAATCTCTTCTTGATTGTTCACTTTCTTTTCAGAGGAAAATCAAAACGAAAGTTAAAGAAACTGAAGAAAAAATGACTAGAAGCCATGACATAAATATAAGTTGCACATTCCTGCTGACCGACTCCGACCGTCCGACGATGCTGAGGGCTGGAATGGTCGATCCCGGACAGCATTTTTGATGGAAAACTCTCCTGGGTTCTCATCTTGTTTCATGCACTTGTGGAGGTGGAGGTGGAGGTACGTAAACTGATCGATTTCGATGCGAAAAAATAGTTACAAATTGCTTCAGCCGTGTTATGTCAAAACAAAGATTTTGAGATCAAGCATTTTGATCAGAGCTATTTACTCCACTGTTGACAAAGCTAGGAAATGTTAGTGTCATGTCCCTGTAAGCAAAGAGAACTTATATTATGATGTTTGCCATTGATAAAACAGGCGTTTTATGTCACCATAGAGACCCTGCTATCGTTCAGACAATTGCAGTCAGACAATTGCATTGACTTACAGATGGTTTGTACTAGATTTTACCTCTTCATGTCCGATGAAGCCAGTACATCCCAGATCGTACAACTTAAAATGTATCTAGGAACTCAATATTAAATCAATCCGAACTCTTAAGAAACCATACAACAAAGCGTAATCAATCATTAGAATCATCTTCTTACATTCGATCAATCTTGACAGTCTTTGGAGTGTTCGAATGAAAGACTCTAGTTTCTTATCGCGTCTAAACTGTCTCGCCGCTACAAGGACTCGATGTTGTGATGATTCATGGGATTTTTTCTTATTATTTTAAGGCCGATATCAAAACATCACCCCCTAACATCTTTATGGTGCAAGGACAGAATTAAAATAAGATTATTTATGAATTTTTTTAAAAAAAGAATGATATATTCCTAATTTGATTTGGAATTTCTAATTGGATTATTAGAATATAGATTAAATATACACCTTCTCTTAGATGAAGATCAAAAAGAGAGAGGAAGAGTAAAATTTCATACTACATTGTTCTAAGCGAGGCCTCTTATCGTAATAAACATAAGCGGACTCTTATCGCACTGTTAAATTCTACATAAATTAATAGACATCGAACTAAATTGTAATTTCTTTTATGTATTCAAATAGTCTTTTTTATTTATTGTTCATAAACATCTAATAAAAATTAAATTCAATCTAGAAATGAAATTGATTATGGTTACTATGAACAAAGAAGAATGCTATAAAGTTATGATGCCATTTGTAAATTAGAAGGCAAAAAAATGAGCCATTTCCATAGTGAAAAGGAGCTGCGATGGGATCAAGAAGTTGAAGGTGGGATGATGGAGCCCTGACAACAGAACCAAGCAACCACAATGCCTAGCAGAGCACCAGCAAGGACCTGCAATGGCGTGTGCCCAAGCAGCTCTTTCAGCTTTCTTTTTCTTATGGGATGGCCTTCAAACAAGTCCTCAACGATCAGATTAAGAACCTGCATTATCATTTCATTCCAAATCTTTATAATAATATACCTTACTTGTTGGGAAAGCAATTACATAAGTCTAAAATATGCCGCATTTAACACTAGTTTAATTAATTAAGTCATATATTCTCGAACAAGATGATAAAGGTTTTAATCTTTTCATCCTTACATGTTATTGGAGTCAAACGCTTATGACACGATACTTTCTTTATAAAAACCACAAATTAAGATCGATGCAAGTGACATAAGCCACAGATACCACCGTACTATCACTTAAGTTTTGGGTAAATTTCCTGAAGTAACCATCTAACCTTACAACATTTGATGACTTTGGAAATCATGACGCCAAAGACATCTAAATCTAGACACTGGATGTGAGATCCCATATCGATTGGAGAAGAAAACAAACAATCCCTTATAATAAGAGTGTGAAAATTTCTCCCTAATAGACGCGTTTAAAAATGTGAGATTGACGATGATACGTAACGGGCCAAAACAGACACTATGTACTAACAGTGGGCTTGAGTTGTTACAAATAGTATCAGAGCCAAACACTGTGGCAGTATGTCAACGAGAACACTGGCTCCCAAGGAAGGGGGTGGATTGTGAGTTTCCACATAGGTTGGAGAGAGGAACGAAGCATTTCTTATAAGGGTGTGAAAACCTCTCTCTAGTTGATGCGTTTTAAAACCGTGAGAGGTGATGCATAACAGGTCAAAGTGGACAATATACACTAACGGTGGGCTTGGGTTGTTACAAATGGTATTAGAGCAAGTCATCGAGTAATGTGCCAGCAAAGACACTGGCCCTCACGGGGGTGGATTGTGAGATCTTACATTGGTTAGAGAGAGGAACAAAATATTTTTTATCCGAATGTAGAAGTCTCTCCTTAGTAGATACATTTTAAAATCGTGAGGCTGACAATGATACGTAATGATTACTTAGGATATCATTACGAAGCATATCAGCTAACAGAACTCCATACAGTAAGGAACCATAAGCCAGATAAAGCCATGTCAACTCAGCCTCTCCTCCCCAACACACAGAGAAAAACAGAGAAGAAAGCCCATAAATGCAAAAGATCCATATTGATCGGCAGCAGAACTAAGTACTAACCAACATATTCAAACAACTCAATCTGAGAAAGGAAACTTCAAAGTTTTAAGATTATTGTAAGCAAATTTATGTAAAACAAACAAGATTTTGTACCTCAGCTTGCATGCCGGTATGTCGACGAATACCAATTGCATCATACATGACAATAAGACTAAACCCCAAGCAGACTGGAAATAGCGAGTCCGCAACGCCATGACAAAGAGCCACAGAAGTCGTCAAAGCGGTGCACAATGCAGAGTGAGAAGAAGGCATTCCACCACAACCAAACATTATCTTCAAATCCCATTTCCTTTCCACGAAAAAGTTCAACAAAACCTTCGTCGATTGAGAAAAAAACCATGCGAACAATCCCGAAACAAATGTCGGATTCGTCGCCAATGTAGCAACGAACGGACTAATACGGTGCTTCACCGTCGCGGTAATGCTTATCAAAGCAATCTCGAAACTCCCGCTCTGTAAGTAATTTCCACTCCATCCACCATCTACAAATCTCGCTGAAACACTCTGAGCTTTCCGGAGATTCGAACGAAAATTGCGATCACCGCCTTCAGATTTCTGGCTTTTGGCGCTTGGACGAGAGGTAGAAGACAAATCATGTGGAAATCTGCGAAGCTTTTTCGATTGAATGAACCGAAAAGACAAGAAGGTAGTGGAGAGAGGACGAGGGGAGCCATTGAAAACGGGGGCACTCGATCTAAGCCCGACACTAGCAGTTTCCATAAGGGGTTTTGGTTTCTCGGGAATTTGAATCGCTAGATGTGAAGAACTTTGGAGAGGGTTCTAAAGTAACTTGCGAGTCAAGCATATGATTCTCAAAGCATATGCCATTTCCAAACCTTTTATCTATCACCACATTGACAGATCCTCTAGAGACATCAAACCACAAGAACACTGATCCAAAGTCGCCCAAGTTACAACCTGTATTCCATCATTCATGTTACATTCAAACTTTAAAAAGTTGCATGATAGAATCAAGATATCTTATGAAGTGATTCTAATTTAGAGTTTAAAAATAAATTTTCTTTGATCATTCATGTAAATCCAATTTATCATTTTTTGGATTTTAACATTATGATCTATGATCTTGCATAAATGTAACATATACGCAAACAATTTAACAATTTTTTGGTGATCGTCTATCGATCATCAAGTGCTACTTAGGAATGAAGTTTAAACATTCAAACCCACTGCAAACATTTTTTTTATTACAACTTTACAAATTCCAGATTACAAAGTTATAAAGGATATACATTTGTTCCCAAACTGGGAATGTACAAAGCTCCTGTTATACAATCATGCAGAAATACAAGTGGATGACTTTCAAACTTTCGTGTAGTAATGGAACAATACACAGATGAAAAATATTAGAAAACAAACCATCATTCTTGATTGTCAAATTCTTGCTTTGGGGTTTAATCATCTTTCTTTTTTGAAGGAGAGCATATTATTTCCAAACAATTTCCCAGTTTTGACAGAAATCCTTCTTTTCCTGGCGAATGAAGGAGAGCATATTATTTCCAAACAATTTCCCAGTTTTGACAGAAATCCTTCTTTTCCTGGCGAATCAGTTTCCTTCTTATCATGGATGCCATGAACAAGTGCCTGCATTTCATCTTCTGCTCTCTCAAAAATATTTGGCCCCTTCACTTCATTGATTGGCATTTTCTCATTTGAACTCATTTCTGCATCATTTGCCGCACAAAGAAACTCATTAGAAGCAAAATAGCTGCAGCAATATTTGTTTTACAGTAGAATAAAACAAGTAATTCATCAGTAATCCTAAGAAAACATCAGTCGGTACAACAATTTAGACGAACTACTTCGATTTTCCATAAATGTGAACCAGTGGCCAATTAGTATGAACCATTGGGCTTCCTTTCAAGGTTTTAAAAATGCGTCTAATAGAGAGACGTTTTTACACCCAATGCTTCATTTTCCTCCCTAACCAACGTGAGATCTCACAATCCACCTCCTTCAGGGTTTAGTGTCCTCATTGGCCCTCGTTCTCCTCTCCAATCGATATGGGATCTCACAATCCATCCCCTTCTTGGCCTAGTGTCCTCATTGACACTCATTCTCCTCTCCAATCGATGTGGGATCTCACAGTCCACCACCTTTGGGGCCTAACGTTCTCGCTGGCACATCGCCTAGTGTCCACCCCCTTCGGGGCTCACCACCCAGTGTCGGGCTCTAATACCATTTGTAACAACCCAATCCCACCGCTAGTAAATATTGTCTTTTTTGGACTTTTCCTTTTAGACTTTTCCTCAAAAATTTTAAACCGCGTCTGCCAGGGAAAAGTTTCCACGCTCTTATAAAGAATGCTCCATTCTCCTCCCCAACTATTGTTGGATCTCAAAAAACCAGAGTACCATGGTCAAAAGTTATAATAGAGCATAAATAAACAGCATCTTTGGAGAACTCTAAGAATGCAAATTTGAAAACTGTAATACCCGAGAGAGGCATTGCTTCCTTCAGAATTGATGCAGCATTGGTAATTTCATTCCTTCAAAAGAATTGCAGTAAATGAGATAATTTAGAAAGAAAACTAAATGTATCCCATAACTATTGAACCTAAACCTAAACTAATTAAAAACAATCAATCAAAACCTTTTATCGCATGTCTGAGATTCTTACTTAGAGTGAATCGTTTGGATAAGGGCCTGATATTCTTCTGCTGCCCGCTCAAATAAATTTGGAGCTTTGACTTCATCTATTGGAGTA